ATGTCCATAAATTACTATGTCCATATTTGTCCATATTATTTTTAATAAGTCCAAATGTCCATATAGCCCAACACTGAATTTAGTAGTTGTATCTGGTTTAAAGCTTTTAGAAACCCCAATTAAAAAATTAAGAAAATTAATTAAAACTATTCGTAAATCAGCTAAAATTCTTGAAGATTTGGAAAATATAGCAACTTTAGATCAAAAAACTTTTTAATTCCAATTCTGGACTGTAAGACAAGATGGAACTCAACTTACCAAATGATTAAAAGAGCATGTATACTTTATGAGTTTTTAGAAATGTTATTAGTTAAACATCCAAATTTAAAAATTTTTATGCCAAATAATGAAGATTGGAAAATTTATGAAGATTTGATTCAGCTATTAGAACAATTCAATGATGCTACTATTGAACTTTCATCACAAACTTATCCAACAATTGCACATGCACAAATAATTTTATTAGCTCTTAGAAATGATTTAGAACTTGATAAGGGTGAAAACTATCAATTACAAAATGTTGTTGATGCTATGATATATAAATATATTGAATATTTCAATTTAATAACAGAATCTTTACACATTTTTGCTTTTTTAGATCCTAGATATAAAAAGTATTGTTTTCCTAACATGTCCATTGAAGAAATTTTAACACCAATTAGAAAAAAAATAAATTTACAATCAACTTTATTACCACCACCTAAAAAAGCATCAAGTTTTTATCAAAAATTACTACATTCATCACAACAAGTACAAACAATAGATGATGAAGTTCAAAAATATTGGTCTAATACAGAAGCAAATGAATCTATAAAACTTTTGGATTGGTGGAGTACTCATACAGCAGAATATCCAATACTTTCAAAGCTTGCTCATGATTATTTGTGTATTCAAGCTAGCTCAGTCCCATGTGAACAACTTTTTTCAATTGCTGGTCAAGTAATTACTAAATCAAGAAATAGATTAAGTAGTGAATTAGCTAGAGCATGTTTATGCTTACATAGCTGGTTATCAAAAAATATTATATAATTTTATTAAATTAAAATTATTATATATATATTTATATCTATATCTTTATTTTTATAGATTTAAATAGAGACCCCAAATTTCAGCATCAGCTGCAACAATAAATACTTAACTCTGCAAAATTACGCCTTCAATAAAGTGATCAAAATTTGAGTATTTTAAATATGAAGTGATCGAAAATTAAGTTATTAAATGATTATAAAGTGATCGAATAATATATACGAAAAACGTCCAGTGCGCACATAGGACCTGTCGGATAATGTATACTTATTAGACTTAGAAGTTTTTTTAATATATATATATTGTTAGTGGCAAAAGGGCGGAAATGTGGACTACCCAATCACACACAGCCAGCCCACAATATATCTACTGGGTAGGGGCGGTATCGATTTGGCAAGGTAAGGCTAAATCAAGTATATTATGGGTAACAATAACAACTTTTATGCAAACAGTCACTATCTTTATTTTAGCGCGAAACAAGCCCGTCTTATAACAGATTTTACATGCGGGGAGGAAGAAAAAGAAAAAGAAAAAGAATCGAATTCTGTTTTGAATTCCAAGCCCCAGCATTGTCACCGCCTCATCTACCTTTTTAGACGATGCTTGGTCATTGTTTTGACCCAGTGATCATCCCGTGGGTCTTTTGACGCCTCATCCGGAAGCTCATTATACAAAGATCTTGGGGCCATCTTGATAATGATCTTATCATAGGTGCGACCATGGTGTCTTGATGAGTCTTCAGCGATTTTTCTTCCAAAATCTCATCCTTTTGGGGCTGTTCCAGGCTTGGGGCTTTTTTGGGGAAAAATGATTTCTCCCGATTCCGAATCAGGTCTTTTGTCACGGTTCTAGACCTCGTGATGCCGAATTCAGTGTAGTAGGAATTGTCAGTTTTACCACTAACAATATATAATAACAAACCTTCCGGAAAAATGATGCATACATCTTCTCAAGAGGATTAACAAGATGTCATGGTCCCCTATTGCAGTACTGCGTTGTTTACTTTTATCATAAATTTTTATCATCCTTTTTTTAAGCTCACAGTGACAATTGCACCAATACGTAAACGAAGTAGTCTTGATTTGTTTGTTATGATATTTTTTATGGTATACATGTTGTGCCTCAGACTAACGCTTGCCTCGGATCATAGCTGACGCACCTCAGGTGTAGATTGTTAGATGAGGTGCGTAACCTATCGATCAGTCATTACTCAGAAAAAAATATGTATAGAATAAAATGTATTGTTGAAGTTGAACGTGTTGAGAAGACTTAAACAGGGCAGAGAAAATTTAGGGAAAAAAAACAAAACCATACGTATAGAAAAAAAAGCGCATATTAATTGGAAATAGAATGTACCACAAAAATTCAGGAAAAGAAATTTAAAGAAAAGAATAGAGGTGCTGGTTGCTACCAATAAGAAAAATGCCGAAGAGATTCAAGAAAGCAAGAATAAAAAAAGCGTCCAAGTCAAAAGTCTTTTATTCAATATATTTTACTCTCAACTTTCGTCAGATTGCAGTTTAGATGGTAGATCAATACGTAGTTTACACACATCACCTGACGATCTGAATCGGAGGTGCGTTAGCTGTGATCTGAGGCAAGCGTTAGTCTGAGGCACAACATACATACGAATAACCATCTCCCTTTTCACAGACCTTTACGATCTTATGTGCTATTGAACTTGCAGATGTTTAGTTTGTGTTATTTACTTCTAATTCATTAATTATTTGAGAAATATCTACGATTATAAGTTTCTCATAACTATATATTCAAGCTCTTCAGATTTTATAGCATTTTCTTTTTGCAAGCTCCTCACGTTTTCTTTTTTTTGCCTTCATTTATGCGGTTTGAACATTCAATACAAATTTTATCATTATTTTGAATTGCAGCATTGGGTTTTATAATTCAACAAGATGAACAAAGTTGATTCGTATTTTCCATTTTGAAAAAAATTACAATATCAAAAGAAAAAATTCCTACATAAATTGTTATTTATTATTTTTATTATTAGCTGTTATGTATTATTATTATTATTAAGCTCCGGATTTACATACCTGATCTTGGTGGCGATAGTAGGTGGGTCCTGCGAAACGGCATGATCTGAGTGAACAAATAGCCGCTGACTCAATATTATCAACATTCTAATAATCGTTCATGCAATCATTGTTTTAGACTTTATGCAAACCCGAATCACGCATTCATGCAATTCTTGATCACGAATTCTCGGGGCACAAAATCGACCACGACACATTGATATGCACTTTACAGTATTTTAAAATATACATTTTTCATATTTACTGGTATATAGTAGCTATAGGCTGTATCATCACTTCTGATACATCATATTTTATAAAATAAATTAAAAAGCTTATTAATAATATTAAATCTA